GACGCTTTTTTTATGCTCTTTCCATCTTTAGGACTATTACTAGAGTTTTGACATGTATCCTAATATAGTTGGCTCTTCTTTACAAATTAGATAAGTTAGACAATATTGTAAATACAATATCTTCGTATTCTTTTTCCATATCATAGTAAATTCTTTTTTCCATTGCCAATTTCTTGTGTTCTTCTTGTGTTGTATCTTTACTTCATATTGTGCCATATACCCTCGTCATTTGTTTCCTAGCAAGTGGTATCATTGCATGCATAGTTCTTGCTAGTATGCTAATAGAACCTATCGAATAATTGGTCGAAGTTGGTACAAAATCAACATTTATTGATTTTACTTAACTAAATTCCAATAGATTCTTGTAGTGGGAATCAAAGAATGGCCAGTGGATAAACAGACTGCTTTGATGAAGACAGCGAGCTAGTAATCATTGACATGTTAAACTCAACTTTGTTACTAGGGATAGCCCATACTCTAATACCATATATGTAGACTACTTTCATGGCGCATCTCTTCTTCTTAATTCCTGGTAGGATATTCTCTTGATCAACATAATCTAAGTACGTAGTTCAGCAAAGTTCTCCAAATTGTTTGTTGATCTAATTAGAATTTTCTTTTTGTGGTTTGTGAATTATTATACTCAAGTAAGGCTAGTGGACAGCCACGTGTGCTAGCTTCCTTACTTATACTTAGGGTGTTCAGCAGATTTCACATTGTCTTAAGAAATTTCTTAGGAGATAATATTTTCGGGAACAAAGTGGATAAAATGAGTCAATTTTTATACTCATAACATTAATGAAATGTTTGATAAATTGGCTTTGAAAACACCTCAAAATGTTAAGGTAAGAAAAGAAAGGCTAAAATCTTGTCAACTGTAATGTCTAAAATGCAATGCTGAGGTTAGAACACCAAAAATCGGGCCTTAGAATCGAATTATTAGAAGAAAGAATAAATAAACTACCCTTAAAAGTTTCCAAAGCCATGATTATGTGTTGTCGACAGCATCATGATTTTGTCCGCATAATCTTGTAACTGAGTTTCCATTTATAACATTGCTATTGATAGTTGTTGGTCCTTATCAAATTATGATAGACGCTCAACAACGCTTTCTAGTTTCTAATTTGAACTGATTCTGAGTTTCATTTTCTTGTTCATAGCTGGAGAAAACAGGAAGGTGTCACAGTTTCATTGGTAATAGCAGCTTATTTGGCTTTCCAGCATTTTGCAAGAGCCAGCAGTTCCAGGAAAGCATTTGATAGGTTCAATGCTAGCCACCTTAGCCACAATTTTCTATTGTTGCTGTCCCGTGCAGCTGTGCTTGCTCTTGATCTAGCTAACGAGTTTTAGGAATGATACATTCACTCACTTTTAGTAAATTATTGGATTCATCGGGAAATTGAGGGTGAGGAAACCTATAACAAGATAAGATAATTTGTACGTTTTTTAGATTAATGAATGTGAAGAAGTTTACTTAAGAGGGAGACCATTTGCTCCAGTATCTACTAGTTCAAACTGTCAGACATGTAAATATCGTGCGATAACTCATCTTAGAATTTTCTTATGTAGTTCTATCAGAATAAATGTTAATAGTAGCAAATTCCTCACTTATCAGGTCACATTATCGTCAACTTTGTACCAATATGGCAATTACTGATCTGTATCTGCCAATGTACGTTTCAAATAATGAACTTAGCAGTGTTCATTGGTCAATTCCTGAATAATTTGTCTCTTCAATGAATAGCCAAAACCAGATATTCTTGTCTAAAATTTTCATTGACAGCAGAAGGAAAGCTATAAAGAACTACTACATTATTATGTACTTCACTATCCCCTTGCTTGCTTCTTGATCTAATGCCATACATCTACATAACCGTTCTGTGAAGGTCTTGAGATTTATGTCTAGCCATCTCTCTCTGTCCCAGTATTTTTCAGGGCATAGATGCTGTCTAGTAATGGTTATCTCATTTAAGAAATAGTACCAAACTTGATCTTCCCTTGTTTAGAGATAATTGGCTGTTGCAGCCAAAATCACGAGACAACTTGAGGTGACCAGCAGCAGTAGGTTGAGTCCTATGGTCTCTGCTGAACTGGGGGTACCTGTTGGCCCATAATCATAGCCTGCTGGTTCTGAACCGAAGCCGCCACCTTCTGCGGGCGTGTAAGGACTGAATGGCGTAGTTATGCTGCAACAAACGATTAGAAACGTGTCAGTTCACCGACATCAGTTACACTTGAAATTATCGGATTAAAGTAGTATAATGAATTTACCTAGGTGGGGTTGTTGGAATTGTGGTTGGTGGAGTTGGAATTGTGGGTGGTGTTGTTGGAGTGGTATTGGGAGATGCATACCGACAGTTCCCCTGACCTGAAGCAATAAGACGAAAAGTTTTGAAACTCAGTATATGCTGTTGACATAGTCATAGGATATGGCTACAATTATATGGGTCTGAAATTGATATGCTGCATTGAATTGGAAGTATTACTTGCTTTTATTTGGATGACAGAACTATGTATAAAAGAAAATTTATTTCAAACAAGTTGCGAACCATACAGTAAGAGGTTATAAATTCTTTATAGCACTCCTAGAATCTTTTTTCGTGGATTTCCTTTTCTCTTAATTGTTCTTAATTTATAAATAAAGAGGTTGTGGGAGAATTTTGTAACCTGTAAAGTCATGGTTATGTTGTACTATTGTCAAACTATACACACAAAGGTATAAAGTGCATTCTCCAAGGGAAAGGATTATTTTCGACTAAGAAACATGATGGCAGTCAATAACTTACTTGGTTCAGTATTAGTAAGCTGTGCTGTTCCTCCAAAAACACAGCTAGTGGGAGCCGGATTCTTCTGATAGTAGTTGTTGAATGCATAAGAAGCATGATCACGAACTGTATTGGGATCGTAGCAACTTGCGCCTGATTGAATTGCTGAACAATCTGCTCCTCCAAAACCACAGGCGTAGTCAAGAGCAACCTGTAAAGCCGTTTCTGAAGCACTGGGGTTTGCTATGCACCAAGAACCGCCTGATGATGCAGGAGTGGTGGTCGTTGGTCCTGTGGTGGTTGCTGGTGGTGGTGGGCTCGTTGGATTCACGATAGGTGATGTACCTGGGGTTGTTGGATTGACAATAGGTGATGTGCCTGGAGTTGTTGGATTGACAATAGGAACATCTCCAGGAGTCGTATCTGTCTGAGCCGTGCTTATATCTGAAACAAAATGAAAATGTCAGAAAAGGTGAATGAAAATATTAGATCAAAGCTTAAAGAAAGTGCAAAATTACCTGAGATAAAGAGAAGGAAGAACAAGAGAAAGAACGCCAGATGTATTCTGGCATCCATAATTCAACCCGTTTGTGCAATACTATTTCTCTTCTTTGCCTGATACAACGCTAAGACATGCGAGGTTTATGAAACAAGAGAAGCAGAATGTCGTATTGGAGAATGAACCATCTCTTTGCTGCAATAAGTTTATATAAAAAGTGTGAAGAATCATAGCTTTCTTGCATTGAAGATAGAATGAAAGAGAGGTTGTTGTTGGGGAATATAAGAAACTTAAGAAAGGAGGAATTGGATAATTGGAAACTGCAAGCAAGAAGAGGTCCTTCCTGGATTGAGAAAACATTTGTATGAAGAGGAAAAGGCAAAGAGGAATTCTTTACTAGGACAAAATCTGATAAATATTGATCCACTTGTATATGTTGTTATCTTCTCTCTTCTTCTTGTCTATCTTTTCATGTACATAGGACTTGCTCAAAAGCTAAAGGTAGGGAGAGAAAAGAAAAGAGATTTCATTCTAGCTATATCTATTTGGATCTAGAAGGTATACACTTGTCTTGTTCTTTACCTTAGGATTGTCTATTGTAGAAGCATGTTTGGTTATGCTTAAAATTAGGTTAAATTTACTTTTAAGCAATTCGATTGAATAATTTTGAAAAGTTACTTTTTGCACTAACACATTCTAGAAAAGTAACTTTCAAGCACTACCAGATCATTCCAAAACTTGGCATTTGGATTGTTATGGCGAGGGAAAGAAGGGAAAGGTGGAAAGTTGGAAATGAGACGGGCTCGATTGGAGAAGATAAGTTTAGATTTTTTTTCATTATATTTTTATAAGAATTGTTTAAGTATTATATCTTTTCCCCAGAAGAACTGAGAATAAAGATGAACTATTTCTTGGAAGCAAACTCTAAAGATTTATAGTTTAAAATTTTCAAAAAGAGAGGATATGCATATTGTTAGTCGCTTGCTCCTCCGAAATTGTCTCTTTCAAGTTTTTTGTTTTAGTATACTTCAATTGGCTGACTGATCCAAGGGCTTGGGCAATTATTTGGTAACATTTATTATCAAAGTTTGTGGTAGGATTGAAATAATTTGGCTAATGTAAAATAGGACTAACATAAACTGACTCGACGTTCTGAAATTGAGCTATTCTCATTCGAGCAAGAACCTAATAAGAGCAAGAAACAGACGATCAAAGAAGAGCGGCTAACGCAAAATGAAAATCATAGAATGCGCATTTCAAGAATTTGGCATTGAGCATTTCAAGAATCCAAGAATGCACAATTAAAAATGAAAATCATAAACTAGGGACCCTTTCAATGATTTCGACGGATGATGAAGATATGAATTTTTGGGGGATTTCACTTAACTTCTTGACTTCAGAGCTTCCCGCTCTACTTTTAACTCTCCCCAAAGATGAGACTACTGCCCCTTTGTTTTGGGCACCATCATTGTCACAGAGCATGGGAAGGACGCGCAGTGATTTAGAAGGCTCGACTAGAACCACTGACGAGCATAGCAAAGCCAGGTCCAACTGTTACAGCCAGGACGTGTGATTTTCATTCATATGGCTCCTCCGTTATGTGCATAAGGATTAAGGAGAATAATACACAAAATAAAAAAAGATGAATAAAATAACTCTCAAGTTAAGTTTCAAATTAGTGGATGCTGTTGAAGAAGTGGTGATGTTATATGCAAAAAGGAAGAGACTCGTAAAACGCCATAGCCAAATAGAGCTTTTGCACTTTTTCTACTAATATTTGAGTAAATAAAGCAGGAATGTTTCAGTTACAAATGGCATTAGCCTGTAGATTCTCCAGCACAGAGAGCTGATTCCAAAGCTATATTTTGTAACCTTACCTGTTTGATAGAACAACTTTATCCTTTAAGAATCAAACAATACAATACTAATATATCTTCACCAATCTCTTGTACTTCGCTAAACCAATACCTAATTGAAGCCTGTGGCTGCGGACATGAGCCATGAATCGAGTGTACAAGGACGAGCCAATAATCCCTTACAAGAAGGTTAATTAGTCACAATATCATCCTTCTTGTCGCCTATGACATTCGGACAGATATTTGGTGACTTCATACCAAGCTGCAATCAAAAATTATTTTTGATTACACGTCTTTCTTTCAATTGTTTTCAATTGAAAAATACTGTCATACCAGGAAGATTTCGAAAATCAGGCTCAATGCCGTTTCCATTTATATCCATGTGATTTGGTGTCACATATTTCCCAACAGTGACAACCACGCCGGATCCATCATGAAGCTCAAACACTGATTGAATCAAACCCTGTAAAGGTGCAAACATTAATATCGGTACTGAATGAAAATGATAGGCAAAATCCTGACCCAGCATCCTCGTGAGAGACAACAGGTACGTGTGGTAACTTTTACCATGCCTAAATTAAAATTGAAGACTGACATGAAAGAGATGTGGTTATATGCGATTAGGAGCTTTGTAACTTTTTCAACACACACTGTTGAAATTGAGGATGCTATTGTTTTAACTAGACACGTGGGAGGAATATCAAATGGCAAGCTTTGCAGTCAGCAATGATTATCACGAGGTCTCACGACATTCCTTTGATCTGTTGTGCAAGTATGTTCTGAGAAAAAATAAGTAGAAAGAAATATATTTACCAAAATACAGTCATGAACTTCTTGGGATTATAGCATCAAGAAAATTTCAAAAAGGGGAAGTATTGGAAAGAAGAGTTTGGAGAAGAAATAGTAGTAAATGAACTAATGACTGAATTAGGGGCATAACAGACTTTATATACTAAAAAACTGTCTTGCATATCAAGAGACATTACATAATTCACAGAGGGGGAAAAAAAAAAAGAACAAAAAAAATTAAAGTTCCAACCTTTCCGTATGTCTTCTCCCCTACAAGAACAGCTCTGCAGTTATCATGAAGTGCAGTGGCAACCTGAAAGAGAGAGTTATTTACAAAAATGCTCTAAGAAATTGGACTCAAAAGGGCTGACTGTAACTGAACTGCTCACAATTTCACTTGCACTAGCAGTATTTTTGTTCACCAAAACCTGAAATGGAAAACAAGGAATGTCTTTCAGATATTTGTTATTCAACAGTTTGATTAAATAAAACCAGGTCACAGTCCATGCTGGAATTTTCCATGACTTGGCACATTCTATCAATCTTTCCTTGAGTTTCAAAGATTAGATATTAATGTCTCTTGAAAGATAGATATAAACAAATACCTCATGTTTTCTTTTTCTTTTTTTAATAGATTTATCTTTTAGGTACAAGATACTGCCACTCAAGTTTGAAAATTTCACGTTATTTGGAACAAAAAAAAGAATCTGGCATGCACGAGAGGTTATGTTTTTTAGGTATAAATATAAATTGATAAATGTCACCTCTCTCTAACAGCTTGTGTATGAGGTGGTCCAACAAGGTACTGCAACTAATTAGCTTGCACAATAATAGGAACCAAACTTTGAACACTCCGACCCTATCAAATCTGAAAAATTCCCAACACTATATAGGATTTATATCGATCACAACATATATATCAACTCAATGTCCTGAATCAAAAACCATGCAATGTGAGAGGGATTCATCTAAGTCAACTGATTCTATCAGCATTTCATCGTAGTAGACAACTATTACAAGTACAATTTTGCATCATTGTGGCATTCATATGAAACACTATTGTCTTCTTATTTTTAGCAAGCTCATGCAGTGATATTGTTCTCCACAAATAACTGTGATGTCAATACTTTCCTACTAGTTGATTCAGAAAGGACAACCAATATAAAAATACAGAAGATGTTCCAAAACATTCTCGTTAATTGAGAAAAAAATTGTCCTTACAATGACAGGAGCAGTAAAAAGAGGTGAAGTGTCGGAAACTATGTTCTTCATATACTGTGGATCCCTGCCAACAGTGTAAGTCACCTGCACATAAGAGTCATTGATGGAAGCCTTAATAGAGGTAAAAGTTGGACTAAAAACATGTGCCATCATTCTATTACTATTATTTATTTGTTTTTATTTGTGGAGAGCAGGAACAGTAAACGGCGGTATCCAAAATACAAGAGCAACATAAAATCGAAAATCTTATTGCATGCAAGGGACTAACTTGAATGGGAAAAACCACACTTCAGTTTATTCAATTTCCTCATTTTCTTATTTTTCCCCTTTTGTGGGAGTGGCAGGGATTAGAAAAGTTTATAGAAAATAAAATTGTCAAAGAGGAATGATTGTCCTGGAGAAACATAAAACTGTACTTAGAAGGGAATCCTCAGATGCAAATGCACATTTTATCAGGAATATAAAAATTCTAATTTTCCAAGAGGCATTTACAGCTGAGAAAATTATTTACCTAACCGTCTCCATAACTAGTTAACTCCTTACAATAAGTGAATCTTGCAGTGTGTCCTTCTTTAGTCCATCAAAGCATCAAATAATGCCTTTTTGTTCAGCTTTCTAAATTTGACTGACCTAATAATCTTCTCATCTGTACTATTTCTAGGCTAGTTTCCCTCCCCCTGCTCGATCCCTCTGTGCAGACATATGCACACACAAATATAGATAGGGAGAACTTGAGCATTCGGATACTTTTTCAAATCGACGGCACAGTTAACATGGTTAATTTTTCAAGTAACTTATTGACTTCAGAGTATATTGCAGTCATATATATGGTCTCAATTCAATATTTCAGATAGGAGTAATGAACTAGCCAAAAATTATATGAACAGGAACTTGGAACCAGAATATATAGATTTGCAACTCATTTCTTGATTAAACTAAATTTCTACATAGTGTAGAAGACCAAACAGCTATTTCACACAGCATAAGATAAATAAATCAGGAAATGTTTGGATTCACGTACAGTTTCCCCTTTACTCAGAAAGAGCTTAGCGATTTCAATACCAGCCTGCAAGAAGCATGTACAACTTAATAACTTGATCAAATCAGTTTACAATAGTTTATGCAAATAAAGCACAAAAGGTCCAATATATACTGAATCATCGGGATAAAATATTAATAGAGCAATCAGCAAGATAACATGCAACTGTACCCCATCATCTTAAGCAAATGAAATGAAGTTAGAGGGAAATATGGATCATGTAAGATAAATTTGACGAACAGTGAGAGAAATGTCACCATCAATAATAGTGAAAGTTTTTGGGGTAAATAGTTGTCATAAAATTGCAAAAACATTTTCTATATACTTCCCTTTCTTATCTCCCAAAATGGTGAGTCAAATATGGACTCCAAAACTGCATAGTTGAACAAGTTGATGAAGAGCAGTGAAACTTATCTCCCAAGTTATGATGCCTTATAGATATTCCTACAGTTTTCCTCTTACCTTCCATCCTAACAACGCAATGGACATTAAGCCCACATTTGACCACAATTTTTCCCATTTTCAAAACTCATTTTCAACCACTCATTTGCCCATAAAATAATTTTACAAGTAAACCCAAAACTTTTCTCTATTTTTTAACCACACATTATACAAAAAAATACTATACAAAAACACATTTTTCCCAAAGAATGGGTCTCAAACAGGGGCTAAGCTTCCGGTTGGCAAATTTATAAATGATTTATAAATTGGTAAATCTTCATTTTCAACCAAAAATTCCATGTAATGGACCCACAAGTACTATAAATTAAACCATTTATAAGTTCTTTCCAAACGGAGGCTACATCTAAATTCTTATCCTGTGGGCATCCGAAAATGGAAAATATGATTAAATTAACAAATAACACACAGCTGAATCTATTGTAATCTTACTTTACAGACAAACCTGTACTAGTCCACCAAGGTTATCTCTAAGATCAAGAACAAGAAAAGAGGCACCCATGTCTTGGAGTCGCTTCATTGCTGACCAAAACAAAAAGGCATTTTCAATCAAACCAAGACAATTTATTCAGAAAGGAGAAAGTATTTGAAACAAAAATATGAAAGTCGTAGAAATGATACTTCCAATCCTTTCTTCCCTTAACTAGGGACAGGTTTCGAGGTAGATTCCAAAGTTGTTAAGGATGAATAACTGACATATCCATATTCTTATACTGTTGCAAAGTTAAAGAAATAACATATCCATATCATGACATGGAATAAATCTCAGGGTGTTGTGGTAACATGCACCTGTAACCAAATCCTTTCTGGCCAATGCATTGAATTCTTTTAGGCGCACATAACCAACCGAACTGGGACCATTTTTAACCTGCTCCAATCGGTAAAAAACTGGGGTCTTTGCAATAGATTGCCTTTGTACCATAATGGATTGAATAGGTCCACAGTTCCCATGCTTGACCTAACAATCGTTGTGGTTGGTGAAAATCAGTTTGGCTGAAATATCACAAGCAAAACTGAAGTATTAACAAAGGTCTTCGCTCAATCGAGATTTAAAAACCGTGATGTTGACAAATGTTTCACTGGGTCCTTGTAACAGTGATGAAGCTTCAAAGGCAGATTTTCCCTTCAGGTCCACACCATTAACAGACAGCAATTCATCACCCTATGACAAGATTGATAGTGTGACACATAATATAAACACTTATGGAAGTAAAATCAGCATGAATAGATGTAAATATGCCACATTTATAATGCAAACATCAAATGCATGAGGAAGAGGGTCCGCGGATATAATATTCTCGAAGTTTCACTGTCACCATCAGGAATTCTAGAAATAGAAGCAGAATAGACGTTTTGTAGTAATGCATCTTTGTGAGGACTAAAACTTCGGAACCAAAGCATAAAGGAAACTAAATTGAAGAACTACTTTATTCTTGTGGAAGATATAGTACAAATTAAGGTTAGGTTGTAGTTCTGGCTCTATCTCCTGCAGTATATACGTGAAAATTTTATCAAAAGAAATCTCCATGATAAGAATAGAAAGCTGCAACTGCTCAATCAAGTGATAGGTAATAGCTGCTGATTATCAGGACCGTAACTTGACAAGGCATCTTTATAGCATATTTGCATATGCTCTATTAAAAATGATGCCACACTATATGGCACATTTATTCAGCTTGAATACCCAACAAGCGTTGCCAAATAGACGCTATACTATTTGAACACATTTCATTCCACTAATCAAATAAATCTAAAGCCCACAATGGGTAACCATATTGTAGATCAAGTTGTTCATTTCCTCATGTTACTCTGAACAACCTGTTATTGCACTTTGAATTAGTATCTTTTATAGCATATTTCTTCGGAAGCATACATGTCTATGGTATTTGGTGAAGGAGCCTTCCACTATACCACCAAACATCAAATCTAACTAAGATATAAGATATTATGATTGAAAGGAACCCTGAGATGCAAGTAAAAGTAGCGAGACAGTAGAGTAGGCATAGTGTAGCATGAGCTACTGACCTGTCTGACACCAGCAGAGTGGGCAGGGCCATCCAAAATGAGCCCTAAAACCTTCAGTTTCATAGCTCCATTATCATCTGGGATCTCCCTGATGTTTATCCCAATTCCAGTCATATCATACCTTGCCATCTTGGAGAACTTTAGGGATGATGAAGTACACATGCCACATAAAAAAACTGAAAAGGTTTGTAAGTAAGAGCAATACTGATTATGGGATAAAAAATTGCATTTTTAACAGATTTTCAGATGAACAAATCAAAACATGATAATGAACAAGAATTCCAGCCATTATCTGCTATAAATTATTGCCATTTGCAATACTTACAAAGAAATTATAACTTCAGATGCATGATATTTTAAAAAGAATGCCAACAACCACAAAAAGAGAATAAAGCAAAACCCTCAACAGTAGACTGTAGATGCAAGATATAATGCCAAAAAACCACAAAAAGAGAATAAAGCAGAACCCTCAACGGTAGACTGTAGATGCATGATATTCTATTCCAGATATTATACTTCTGAATATCAAATTGTTTAAATTGACAGCGGCAGCATGGAATTATAGGTTCTGTAGGCTGAATTTGTTAGGAACACGTTCGCAGAACAATTTATTTGAGGAGACAACTCATGTATGAAACAAAACATTGCTTGGAAACAATAAAATATACAAACTTATAGGAATGGAAATAAAATCGAGGAGATTACCTCGGAAGGAGAAAGAAAACGAGTATACGGGTCGCCCAAGCTCGCTAACATTCGGCGGATGATCTCATGAGCTTTCGATCTTGTCTGAATCGAGGTACTTAGTATATCTTCCTTCTTTTTCTGAAAGGAAAGAAAAATTAATCAGTCTTTTGTATTCCATATATACGTATCGTATAATAGGGATACATGGAGTTGAAGCGCACAAGCCAGGTATCACGAGACCAGCGGTGGCGACCGGTGTCAAGAAAGCTATCGTTAACAATCTGCCAAGCCTCCTCCACTATCTCCTCATTGGTCATTTCTTCCGGTACGGGCGCCGTCAAATCAGGATCCGCCACATCTTCTTCACGGCAATACGATTCCCGTTTCACAGAATTCAGTTCTGTGAGAGAGATAGAGGATGATGAAATCAACGGAAATGAGTCCAGTGCGGTTGAATTGGAAGGAGACGAAAATACGAGCCCCAAGGAGAGCGCGATTGAGACTCCTGCCGTACTCAAAACTTGGGCGAGCTTTCGTATTTCTCGTGAAGAATTTGAGTCGGAGGAGAAGGTTAGGGTTTTGAGCTGATGACAGAAAGCAATTAATAGAGGCTTTGGCGGAGGCGGAGGCGATAAGGAGGCATTGTAAAGAAGAAGCTTCATATTTTCACTTCCGGTTCCGGCAGCCCGTTACCGTGGCAATATAAACGTTATTATCCGGTTTATAGGATCGAGATTATAAAATAAACAAGTCATGCATTAAGCCCGTTTGGCCTCCATTAAATTCTGAGCTTGTTTGGGACGATTTTTCACCACAAAAAATTGATTTTTTTACCGTTATTTTACTATTTTAATCGTAAAATTTGACCTCTTTTATTACAGGTGTCCCCATTTTTCTCCTAACGATCACAAAATCAATTCTCAAAATTACTTCCGAATGAGGTCTCTATTACATTACATTACATTTTATTTTTCTATTTCTTATTTTTAACCATATAATCTTTCATAAAATAATATTACAACGTAAATCAAAAACTTTTCTTTCTTTTTCAACCACTCATTCTTTTAAAAAAAATAAAATATTTCACTCATTTTCATTTTCCGAAAATAGGGGCCAAACGGGGCTAAGCCCTTGTTTGGGTCCCATTTTTTAGGAAAAAATAAATTTTTGAATAGTGTATTAATGAAAAATATATGGTTGAAAAATAAGAAGTAGTTTTGAATTTACATGTAAGGGGTGTTTGATAGCCATTTTTATGTAAACATATATTTTAGAATAGTAAATTGATGTGAAATGTGTGGTTGAAAAATAAGAAAAAAAATTTATTTGCGTATAATATTATTTTAATAAAGAATGTGTGGTTGAAAATAAGAGAGAGAAAAGTGCATTTTGAAAAAAAAAGGCTACCAAACGAGACCGTAATATTATTTTATTGAAAAATGTATGATTGAAATTATGTCATAATACTTTTTAAAAATGTACTTTTTTGTAAAGAATAGGACTCAAACACACTAAGGGTCGACAATTCAATTTTCAGACAACTTTTAAGTTTCAAAGTTATAAAATCAGGTATTAATTAATTAAATATATTAAGGTTACAATTATACGATTCATGGTCATATATGTGTACTTATAAGTCATAGCGTCTCATATTATCCAATTAATTGATCATAAATTATTTCATTGATTACAAATAAAAAATATTATAAATCATAATTTATTTGTCGATCACAAATTTTCAAATTAGTTAATCACACATTATCAAATTTTTATGTCACAATTGAATATTTGGTCGCAGATAACCAAATAATTGGTGACGCACACCAAATAGTAGGTCACAAACCACTGCCACTATCACTGCGGCCACTTGTAACCACCCTCACCTTGCCACCATCTTACCTTCTTCACACCATCATATCTGCCACCATCTCATATACCTCAAACCATCCAAAAATCACCCAAAACTAGTTTAGATAATTGGGACATCAAAAGATGCAGGTTCCTATGCTGTCGTTTGCTAAGGCACCACGCAACAACGATGATGCCAGTACTTGACTCTCACATCAAGCGAAGCCTTGTTGTGGCATTTGGAGGTGATGCGATGCCGTTGCGAACAATAGCATCGAAGGATTGTTGCATCTTGTTGATGTCATTCGTAGTAGCATCGATCAACGATGATGTTGAGAACTCTCGATGGCCCCTAATGTCAGTAGTGTCTGTCAACACAAATCCTTTATTGTCAGTCATCGACGTCTCGAAGAGAGAGAAGGTAGAGAAAAAAAGAGAGATAAGGGAGAGATGTAGAGAGAAGAGGCATAGGAAAATAAGCAGGGTTTGGGTGCATGGAGGTAGGGTTAAAAGCTTAAATTGTTACATATTTCTGAAAAAAAAACTTTTAAATCTGATTTTCGAATTGTGCATTTTAAATTTTTGGGTATGTGTAATTTCAACAATTAAGAGCTTGTTGAGGCCCATTTTTTTGTCCAAACTGTATTTTCATGAAAAATGTGCGGTTAAAAAATAAAAAAAAAAATTGAATTTTCATATAATATTGTTTTAGTGAAGAATGTGTAGTTGAAACTTAGAAAGAAAAATATATTTTGAAAATAATGAAGACTAAACAAGGGCATAAACTCTTCGGATTTTTTATTTTTAATAGGCTTAATAGCAAAAACACCCTCTACATCCTCGACAATGTACGATATACTCCATATCTATTAAAAATCGCAAAAATAAATTTCCCTATTTGAAATCTTTTGTTCGAAATATCTCTGTTGTCATGATTAGTTAGTTTAACCGTTAATAACATTAAAAAATAAATGAAAAAGTTAAAAAGGAATAATTGCAGTTGCAATACCCAAATTTTTTATTTTTATATAAACTATACGCAAATTTTTTATATGTTCCACCTACAATTTCAAACCTTTAAACCTTTATTTCTTTTTGCACCCCACCTCACCTCACCTCACCTCACCTCACCTCACCTTCTTCCCTCACACAACTTTTTATACTCAAAAAATAATTGTAATTGCAATACTCAAAATTCTCGTGTGCTGTAGATGAAGCTCATCTATAGTTGTTTGAATTCATTCAATTTCTTGTTTTAGATATTAAAATGAAATAAGAAATCATAGTTGCTAGACCCGATTTGAATACTGATTCAGACAGTGTAATATGTACGGGTCAGTGGTTCAACCAATGGATCAATTCCTATCAGATATATTATTAATTATTTAACTAAATATTAAATTTTTTGAAATTTTCTACCACTAACAAAATTAACTTCATGTTATTTTGTTGACTGAAGATAAATTTGTAGCCTACAATATATAAATTCTAAATCACATATAGTGAAATATACATTTGAAACAATAAAAACAACAATCACTGATCAAAAACTATTTTATTTGGCAGAGTTCTATAATAAACATTTAATCCGAAATTTATCTATTTATCCTGACAATCCAGTAATAACCAACACACAAATGCCAAGTTCTAAACCTCAAGAAACTGTGCCCATGTTTGAGCTACATTCTAGGAAAAAATGCATTATTTATGTCAAATCAATGGGAAATATGTGGTTAAAAAATAATTAAAAGTTTTAGATTTATGTGTAATATTATTTTATTGAAGAATGTGTAATTGAAATGATATCAAATCACGATTGAATAATGTATTTTTTTTGAATAATGTCGCTCAAACAAGCCAAACTTTTAGCACCACTACACATATGAAACGTGTTAAGAAAATCTCAAGAAAACGCATGAATCTCATTTTATTCTATTTGTTATGTTGGACAAGACATTGTGGCATCTTTACAATGCATCACTAGTTTTAATTTACTGCTGCTATTTTGCTATAAAGGCTGATTTTGGATATATTTACTAACTTCTCGTGGATGTTGAGCGAGAATTCCTCTACTTTGGATATTTACTAATTTTTTCATTTTTAGTACACTTAGGGTATGTTTGATTACGAGCATGAAATTTAAATGAAAATAAAATAAATTATAAACAATTGAATTGTCTAGAAATTATTTGTATGAAAATTGTCAATTAAACGATTTTGATTGATTTGTTTTCAACCTATAAAATATTATATTTGTCAATTTATTATTAGTAAGTAGATGGGAGAGAGAGGGGTAGATGAGAGAGAAAGAGAGAGTGAATTACCTGAAAAATAAAAAGCTACTCTCCATAAAGAAAATATTTTTCATGAAAAAAAATATCAATTAAATAGCACAAAAGCAAGAATTTGGATAAAAAATGACGTTTTTCATGAAAAATATTAGCAATCAAATGCACTCTTCGATTAATTACACATTTATGTAAAATTTTAACATGGCATCCAAAATAAGTAACGGAAAATAACATACATACAACGTGAAAAATAGTTAGAAATTGGTTCCTAGAATACCCAGAAATTGAAGCCTATAAAGTGCAGTAATCAACCAAAATAAATGGGTGTGTTTGATTACATTTATTTTTCATGAAAAATATCAGTTTTCCATCCAAATTCCTACGTGGAGTGTCTAATTGCTATTTTTTTCCATGGAAAACATTTTCCTTAGATAGAGGTGATTTTTATTTTTCACAAAAGATGGAAATCATTTTCTTTTTTAGGTGATATTTTCCATGCCAATCAAATACGCTCAAAGTGAAAGGACTAATTTCATGATTTTCATCAGTTAAAGAACACGGCCAAAATGCTTAACAAAAAATAAAAATAAAAATCAGACTTACATGTTCTTCTTCCTTCTATTAAAACTTGACATTGGAGATTTGAATTTTTAGGAGTAGTTGAATTGTAAGGAGATTGCAAAGGGTTTTTAATTTTTCAATGAATCAGTAACGTGGATTGTGAAGAGCTTTGAGCCACGAGGAGGAATGAGTGGGCTTACATTGGTCCGGTTGGTTCAAAGAAAAATGGGATAGCAGGTTTGTTAAAAGATCAGCGATTGAATGATTTTGAAACGGGTTAACTGTCCACTAGTAAATATAAGTAGTCTAGACCGGACCGGGCTCTGATTCGATGATTTTCGAACTGAACTGGTCGGTCAAATTGGTCCAATTCGAGTTTAATAACATTGTAAGAAATAATATTACTAGTGTCAGAAAAAAACCTATGCTCGTCTCGCGACCCTTCATCTACTTTCATTACACTTCTTATCTTACATGGGATGTACAATTTGAGGGTGGTAGAAAATGGGTCGTGGAGGGAGAGGAGATTACAAATATTTATTTTTTTTTATTTTTTTCCATTTTAGTTATTTTTTATTTAATTAATAATGAAAATTTAAGTTTGGATTGATTGAGCAACAAAATCATCAAACCATTAATTGATCCGAACCTTTTTTTTTTTGAAACGTTGGTTTAAATCCACGTGATTCGTCAACATTGGATTTTAAACCGAACTTAACAAAATTGCTTAGAAATGGTTTGGATTAGGTTTTTTAATATTTTTTAATAGTCGAATCATTGACAAAACTTTGAAAATAAATTGGTTTAAATATTATTCAATCCAATTAAAACTTTAAATACATATCAATTAAAAATGAGTAATATTTCTAAAATGATTGACATCTTAAATTTAAGATGTGAATCATTTAATAACACTTGATGAATAACTAGACTAGTCATGAACTGTGTAGTTGATTAACATTATTCATTGAAAAAGACAATTCGTATTAAACCCGAATAACCCAACCCAATCA